ATTTCCTTACATAGAAAATCGGGCATCTCTTCACCATTTGCATTGTGTACTGGTCACATCTAATTAAGGAACTAATAATAATAGTTGTTAACACTTTTAGTGTTGGCCCTCTGCTAGGCATTGTGTTAGGCACCTTCCAATCATCCAATAACTAATTTCAGATCCATGCATTTTCCCAATTTACCTTAGTGCCAAACAGTGTAATAAATTCTGAAATTAAGAACATCACATTTCATTTAAAATATTTACCAATTTGAATGAGTTGGGGAAACATCATGGCCTTGGCAGCCACTGAACCCAGCCGCCTCCAACAAACCACTGCCCTTGGCACAGCCCCTGGCTACCCATAAATTACCTTTTGTACACAAAAAACTTTTCTCTTTTATGTGAGGCAGAAAAGATTAGGTGCTACCTCTCTTTTTGATCTGAGGGGGGAAAGGTTCCCCTTTTCTTTCTTGTCTTTCCCTCCACATTCAAAACTTGGCCAGAGTTAGAATGTAGAGAGAGAGAGAGGATTTTTTTTTCTAAAAGTTTCCAAACCTTTTACTCTCAAACCCTCTCTTCACACTGTTCTTTCTATCCATTAACTTTCTTGTTTTCCTTGTACCTACTTATCCCTCTGATGGACTTTGATTAAAGTCCCTTTAAAACTGCTCTTTCTCTATCTCCTATCCACCCGCTCCTCTGAGCCTAATTGGAAAGGGAGAGGGGGAGAGAAGGAAAGTAGCTTTCTAGTACACAGGAACTCTCATTCACACCATAGACACAAACACAAAACAGATATACAACAAATTACTGTAGCTATAGAATCAAATCATATTCAATCATTTTCTTTTTATCTTTCCCTTTATACTGTGGCAAAGTCCAATTAGCTATCGTCCGGAACATCTGGAAAGGAACTATGTTGCTGACCACCTGCTTTTGGACATCCCCATGGCTCACCAGTTCTTGCCCATTAAGGCTCACCGTATCTTGCCACGAGGTGGAGGCTTACTAGTTCTTGTCCTCTTTTGAGAACTCACCAATCTCGCCCTCTTACGGGAGGGGAGGCTGGCTAGAACTTGCCAAGGGATCACTAGTTCTTGCTTTCTGTAGAAAGCTCACCGATCTTGCCTTCTCCCTCACTAAGCTCAGCCTTGTTTCCCCTCCCCTGGTCACCCAGAGACTCACTAGTTCTTGCTCTCTTTATGGGGGCTCACCGATCTTGTCTTACCTGGGCCTGTGCACACAAAACTTATGTGACTGATTCAAATTTTTCAGTGGGTGGTGGTCATTGTGCCCTTTCTGAGGTTTCTGCTTTCAGGTATCTGTCTTTCTTCGGGTCCATTCCTTAAAAGTGAAAGGAAACTCCCACATCATTCTTCAGACTGCTGGCAAGTGGCCAATGAGCACCTGTCCTAGGACTGGCTGGGAGGCCATTTCACAAATAAGGGGGGATCCTGGAAGATTCCCCAACTGTGTGGGACAAAGACCACTTACTCAAAATTAAAAACAAAGACTTGGATACCTTGAAAGCAGAAAGGAGTTTATTGCTTTCTCAAGAGAAAGGGTACTGCCCCCAGTTGCCATCGCCGGCCAGGGGAGTATGAATTTGTTACAGAAATCAAGGCTTATTTATACCCTAACGTGAGCTCCTCCTCCCTGACCCCTTTCCTTTGTCCCATTGGCTGGGCTTCAGGGGGCATAATCTATTCACGGCCCCATTAACAGAGACACAAGTTTGTCCAGAGACAAGAAAAGGCTGGAAGTTTTGCAAGGGCAAGAAGTTCAGGTTGGGGGTAGGGCCATTCTTTCTGCTACGTGCTTAAAAAACCGGGTCTGAGCAGGGGAGGGTTTTGAAAACAATACAAGAATTATTAACAAGAACTACTGACCCTTTGAGGAGGCTTCACTTCTGAGAGATCATCTCTCACAAGCTCATAGCTTAACTAATTTCCTACATAGCATTAGTCCCTCCACATTCAAGTCCAAAGTCCCCTTGCTAGCTTCTCAGACAGGGTTGGATGCAACATTGAGCCTGGAATCTGGGATTCCAAGGTTCCCATGGCTTGAGGTCCCAGGTTGGGACTTAATTTTCAGCCTGTAGAATTGAAAAGGACAAAGGAAACAGACCAAAATCCTAGACCAAAACTCGAAGCCCGTTTGTTAGGGCCATATGGCCTAAGAAGGGGACCCTCAGGCTATGCCTATCTTACCACATAGTTTCACCTTCTATGAGTCCTTCATGCCTAGATACAAATATGGGAAAGAGAAAGACTGTACTGTCAGATAATTTTAAAGATGTAGGTAGTTCTGGCAATGTGGACAATGAAAAAAGGTTGCTTCCAACCATGCAGTAGGCCAAAGCAGGATATCCATGCATATGCCAGTCTTTCTGTCTCCCAGGAGAAGGTCCCAAGTGTCTTCCATGTGGTTGACATCATTTTGTGTGGTCTGAGCTTGCACCAAATCCCATTAGACTAGTAAAATCCCACACTAGCCATGTCCAAGATCATATGTCTAATTCTATCACCTGTCTGTCAGGAGGCTGTTGTTGTTGTTGTAAAGTCATTTTAGTCATGGCCAACTCTTTGTGACCCTATTTGGGGTTTTCTTGGCAAAGATAGTAGAGCGATTTTGCCATTTCCTTCTCCATCTCATTTTACAGATGAAGAAATTGAGGCAGAGTTAAGTGACTCGCCCAGGGTCACATGGCTGGTAAGTGTCTGAGGCCACATTTAAACTCATGAAGATGAGTTTTCCTGACTCCAAGCCCAGTTCTCTATCCACTGTGCCACCTAGCTGTCCCCAGTCAGGAGATGCATACCATGTTTTATCCCTGGTCCTTTGGAATCATGTTTGGTCAATGGTCGATTAATCAGAAAGTCATTGATCAAAGTTCTTAAGTCTTTCAAACTTGTTTTTCCTTACAATGTTATTATTGTATAAAATTGTTCTCTTAGTCGCTTCACTCTGCATCGATTCATACAAGTCTTCTTAGATTGTCTGAATCCATCTCTTTTGTCATTTCTTATTTTACATTCATATATTATAATTTACCATAATATACCATCATTTGTTCAGCCATACCTCAGTTGATGAGCATCCTTTTAGTTTCAGTTCTGTACTGCAACAAATAGTACTATAAATATTTTTGTACACACAAGTCTTTTCACTCTGATGTGTTTGAGGTACAGGCCTAGTAATGGTATCACTGGGTCAAAGGATATATGCAGTTTATTTTTTTCATCATAATGCTAAATTGATCAATTGTACATGGTTTCATTTTGTGATAACAAGGGCTGTGTGTGTGCTTCTCCTGACACCAGGCTCAGAATATCTGACCTTATGATTAAGGAAATAAAGTTGAGTTAATTAGTTCTCTGTGAATCGAACACTGGATTTGGTGTCATACTCACATTTCATTTTTCTGTTTTGCTGTGTTTTTCATTCTGTGATTTTTTAAAAAAATGGGCATTACTCCAACAAAACATGTAAATGTTGCAGCTCTTAAAGATGATCACACTTCAGTGACTATTAGAGCCATCTCAGTGGCTGTTGGGTGAGATCATTTGCACTGAAGAGCAAAGGAAAAATGTGGTTGAAAATGAAAAATAGCTCCAAGAACTTAAAAACTGTTGCTGCAAAACTGCCTAATTAATCCTCAGAAAATAGGCAGTCTCTGAGAAACTGGACAATTTGCAGGGGTTGATATTGATTTCTCTACAGTGTGGCATGGGCTTATTGAATTTGGAAGACAGCAAAAAGACCTTCTAAAAAAACTCCGCTGACCACTGTGATGAAGGGGAAAATACTTATTGTAGAGAAGACATTGCAAGAATTTAATTTACACAACACTGAAAGTATCTGAGACAGGTCTTCCTGACTCTGAACTCAGTGCTCTATCCATCTCACCACTTATGGGGCATATGACAGTTGAATTCAACAACCCAGCAAGCATTTATAAAGTATCTACAACACATCAGGCATTGTGCTAGATGTTAAGGATACACAAACATGATCCCCATGCTAGAAAAACTTACCTTCTAACTACATTTATATATTTGAAGTGCTGTCATGTGAAAGAGATATTATGCCTGTACTTGACTCCCTCAGGGAAGAATGAAGGAATGATAGGTGGAAACTGATAGATAAATTTAGGTTTGAGACAAAGAAAAACTTCCTAAAGCCATCCCAAAAGTGTCTCAGGAGGTAATAGATTTGTGGTTTCTATAAATCTAGTACCAGGGCCCCAAACATAAACTTATTTTCAGAAATGACCAAGGTAGGTTTGGCCCAATGAGCAAAATGTATTACTTTTCTTCTAGTAACTTTATAATGCCTTTCCCCAATACTCCAGCCAGAAGTGATCTCTCTTCCTTCTTCAAATTCCCACCTTTCTGCTTCCCTTCAGGCACTTACCACCTTTAGCTTCTATTTTGTTAACTGGTCAAAGCCTGCTTTTGTTATTCCTGGAAATAAATTCCAAATTTGAGGAGAGGAACAGGGTATTGCACATCTTAGGCATTCAATGGACATTTGTTAGATGAAATTAGTTCTCTCCACTCTGGTAAATTTTGCACAATGAAATACTAAATCAATTTTCTCTTTTATTACTGTGGAACTACACTGTAAGATATGCTTCTGTTGGCATACCTGGCTGGCTACCACATTTCTAGGAGCCAGTCTTAATGCACAGCCCATATTCACATAGTAGTTGTACAACTGCTCTATCCACTCTGACTCACAGCAATCTTCCATGTTCCTGAATTCCTTAGTATGTAGGACAATAGGTTCATAGACTCATAGATTTAGAGCCCTGTTGAACAACAGCCTTTATTGCTTTGACGTTATTATCTGCCTGTATATTGTTGCCTCTTCAATGAGGTTATAAATTCAAAGCTAGAGGTTCAGCCTTACATTTCCTGTGCCTCCAGGCACAGTATTTGGAGCTTATAGTAGTTATTAATAGTTAAATTTAAATGGACTGGGGTGTTTAATTTATATATCTTTGTTTTTAGCTTTTGAATACCATTCGAAATGCAAGTGAGCTACAAGTTGTGGATACTAAAATGAATGAATGTGCTGAAGAAATCAATCGGTTGTTTGATGTACTCATGACTTTAGAAATGCAGTTGGTTGAACAGTTAGAGGTAAGTCAAAACCTTTGATTATGTAATATTACCTTAATTCGGGAGGTAAGGAAGTTGATCTGTAAGGTAGAAGGCAGCAGCTGTTACCAATAGTCCAAAGGAAGGCACCAATTTTTCCCCCACAGAAAGCAGTGGGAAGATGGAGGAAGCTTGGTGATTCTGTGTCACTGAGGTCTGTAACAGCTGAACTGTGTTAGAGGTCATAGGACTCTGACATGGAAGCTGAGAAGGCCAGAAAGAATCACAGACAACAGGACAGCTTTGAAAATTATGTGTTAAATTCATTATATATTTTAAAAGAACAAGTTGCAGTTTTATATACAATCTTCTTTTTCTTTTCTACTAAGTGTATGGAAATGCCCATTTTATTTGGTGTTGATTTCAGGATAAAAAAAAATAGACTTCAAATAGAGGTACCCTGGTAGTTACAAGTCACAATGGTCTTGTAAGAATCTGGGCATGTGGTTGAAAGAACACGAAATGCTGCATTGTTCTTGTTGGCCTGCTATCATATGAAGAAATCAGAGTATTCTCAATGATGGTTTGATTAAAGCAGTTTTATCCAGTTAATCCTATGTTTGAAAATAATTTTTAATACTTTTGATTTGAAACAGTTTTTTTGGGGAAATAAAGATGGGTTAATTTCTTTGGACTTTTCCATGTATCCAAAGAGAAGTACATGACTACCTCAATATAGTTCTTACCTGTGGTGGGAAAGAGATTTTTTTTTTTAATATTAAAGGTCTAAAAAATGCTCAACTACTCATCTTGAGTAAGACCAATGAAAAGTAGAACTTACCTTTGGGAAGCTACACAAAGGCATTTTTTAATTCCAACTAAAAGTTACAAAATCTAAAAAGAAAAATATAAGAAGCTTACAATTAAAAAGTAAATGGTTAAAATGAGAACTTAACAATATTAAAAATCTATTAGAAACCCTAGAGACTTGTGATTTTACAAGGTAAAATATGGGTGCAGTAGATTGAAGTAAGCTGATGGATTGAGCAGTTAGGTGATGCAGTGACAGCCTAGAGTCAGGAAAATTATTCTTCCTGAGTTCAAATCCAGCCTCAGATACTTATTAGCTGTGTGACCTTGGGCAAGTCATTTAATTCTATTTGCTCATTTTCCACATCTGTAAAATGAGTTGGAGAAGAAAATGGCAAAAACCACTCCAATATCTTTGCCAAGAAAACCCCAAATGGTGTCAGGAAAAATCAGACACAATTGAACACAACTCAGGTGAGCTACTATCCAATCAATTCTTCATATTTAAAATGGCACCTTAAACAATATATGGATTTCCCTGTCACTTGAATAGCAGATGGTTATTTCCTGTTACACAGAAAAGAATATGCAACGCTTTAGAATATGTGATTTTTGATATAAAGAAAAATATTTTAAGTGAACTTCTAAAGGCCCAAATCAAGCTATCAAACATGTTGAATGTGTTCCCCCTTCTTCAGGAGTTAATTGATTTGGTATCTAACAATTCAAATTAGCTTTTTTTTTTTTGCCCTTTACAGGAATCTATAAATAGCTTTGAAAGGAACATTATAGACATAGTGGGAGTATTTGTTGAAAATGTACAAGGCCTATATCCTTTCAATGGTGTCTCTTCCATTGTTTATTGATGAAATGATGATATGTTGCTGGAATCCCTAAGATTACTCCTACAGGTATGATCATTAAGTTGGTTAAAGATTGGTATTTGGGGGGGATACTACCTTTGCATGGGGTGTGAATTTTTAAAAATATTGTTGGAACTTACATGTCTTACATAGTCTCCTTCAAAGGAGTTATAATGGAAAACTACCTGTTCTAAAAATGGCCCCTGTTCAGAACATATTTAAAATTTTTCTTTGGGGATGGTCTGTAGAACAAAGTTGGTGTTCCATGCAAGAAACTAATTTCATTACTTTTATAGGCATGCTTCATTATTTTTTTTATCTTACCAATACCAACATTGCCTAGATTGATAATGGATATTATTCACCAGACTTAAAAGTGCACAAATTAAATGGAACACAGTAAAATAAATAAATAAAATAATAATTTTCACTGACAGAAAATAAGCCTTACAACTTACCATCTTTAAATGCAATATCTCCTCCTTTTGCTGCATTCACTTTTTTTTTAACACGATTTGGCATTAAGTTCACAAGATTCTGACACATTTTTTAATCTTTCATTATGAAACCACACTTGTAGGACACTGGAAAGCAAGCATAACGTTAGTAAATAGTAAATCATTCTAAATCTAGCTTTGATTGTGGGCCAGAGGTTTTCACTGAGGTATAAATAGGCATGTTCCCAGGCTATTGAAGCATGACTATCTCTATTTCTTGGCTAAATTTCTTAATTTTTTGAAATATGTGTGTAGTGTGGTGCAAAATTGTATTGTAATATCCCATCTCCATTTAGAAATTTCTATACATCTGTAATAATTCTGTTCCTGAGTATGTCAGTATTTTTATCAGAATTCCCTCAATGGGGATGACTTCCAGGCCCACTGGACGTAAAAAATGCCCAAAACATTTTTTGAAGGTGGATGTTTTACAGTCTGATGAAGATGTTTAGATCTTACAGACTCACCTAGACTTCTAGCTATAGTTTTTGTATAGCCTTGAGTGAAAAAAAGTGAATTTCATTAGTAAAAATGACTTTTTTCTGTTCTTCTGTAATAATAGCTAGCATTTATGTAATACTTCTTAAGGTTTGCATAGTGCTTTACATGTTATGCTATTGGTCCTCGAAAAAAACCCAGTAAATTAGGTGGTATTTCTACTTCCATTTTACAAATAAAGAGATTGAGATTATGAAAAGTCAGTAGACTTGCCCAGAGCCACAGAGCTACTAAGGCAGGTTTTGACCTCAGGTCTTTTCTTACTCTATGCCTAACATTCAGTCCACTGGGCCACATAATTACAGTACCCTGTTCTTTCATTGTCTTTCCCATTACAAATGGTTTTTCTTCATCCCAATAGCTAGCCAATTTTTTAAAAGTTGGTCTTCTAGCTGTTTTTCCAACTTAAAGAAACCTCTGTCACACTGTAGAGAAATCAGTAACAACCCCTTCAGTTGCCAGGTACCACTAAAGGTTTTTACTTTTTCTCTAAGGGTTAATTAAGCTAATTTGCATCAGTACTTTGTAAGTTCTTAGCATTCTTTTTCATTTTTGACCACACTTTCCTTTGCTCTTCAGCTATTATTGTGGGCTTCCCTCAATCAACAAACATTTATTAAGTATTTAGGATGTTCCAGACACTGTGCTGTGTCCTGGAGATACAAAGAAAAAACAAAAATGGTCCATTCTTGCATTCTTTCTTTTTTTAAAGAGATTTCTACTGATATATTTTGTTTTTAAATTGCCTCAGTTTCTGCCTGTATCCCTTCTCTTCACTTCTCCCAGAGACCCAGAACTTATAACAATAACAACCCCCCCACACACGAATGTATGTATGTATGTATGTATGTATGTATGTATGTATGTATGTATGTATTTAAAAGTACACTAATTCTTTTTTGGTGGAGCTGTGACTTTGTACAACCATTCTGTTCTTTTTTTTTTTTTACTTTTAGGCAATTGGGGTTAAGTGACTTGCCCAGGGTCACACAGCTAGTGTCAAGTGTTTGGTCTGAGGCCAGATTTGAACTCAGGTCCTCCTGACTTCAGGGCCAGTGCTCTATCCACTGCGCCACCTAGCTGCCCCAATTCCCTTTTGTACAACCATTCTGGAAAGCAATCTGGAATTGTACAAAGTTGCCAAAATGTCCATACTGTATGCAGAATTCCACTGCACAGCATATCCCAGGGCTCCATCTATACCAAAATGTTTAGCATAGCCTTTTAAAAATTTAATATCTCATTTTTCCCCAGTTACATGTAAAAACAATTTTAATGTTCTTTTTTCAAATTTTGAGTTCTAAATTCTCTCCCTCTCCCCCACTTCCATTCATTAAGAAGGTAAGCAATTTGACATAGGTTATACATATGTAGTCATGCAAAACACATTTTCATGTAAGTCATACCGTAAAAGAAATCCCAAGACAAAAAAATCCCAAGAAAAATAAAGAAAAAGTATATTTGATCTGCATTCAGGCTTCACTAGTTCTTTCTCTGGAGATGGACAGCACCTTTCATCATAAGTCCTTCAGAATTATCTTGGATCATTGTATTGCTGAGAATAGCTAAGTTGTTCACAGTAGATCTCTATATAATATTGCTCTTACTCTGTACAGTGTTCTCCTGGTTCTGCTCATTTCACTTTGCGTCAGTTCATGTAAGTCTTTCCAGGTTTTTCTGAGAGCATCGTACTTATCATTTCTTACAGCACAATAGTATGCCATCACAATCATATACAACAGCTTGTTCAGCCATCCCCCAGTTGATGGAAATCTCCTCAATTTCCAATTCTTTACCACCACTAAAAGACCTGCTATACTCAGCCTTTTCTGTGACAGCAAAGAACTGAAAACAAAGTAGCTTCCTGTTGATTGAGGAGTGGCTAAATAAATTGTGATATGTGCATGTAATGGAGTATTAGTGTGCTATAAGAAATGATGAATATGATGAATACTAGGAACCATGGAAAGACCTACATGAACCGATGCAAAGTGTAGTAGTCTGAGCAGGGAAAGCAATCTATAAATGACTACAACAATGTAAACAGAAAGAACAACCACCACAAAACAGTTGAAAATGAATGTTATGAAATCCTAAAGAAAAACTTGGCACCAAAGAAGAGATGTCAGGGACATCTCACCCCAGTCCTTTGCAGTGCTGAGGGTGGCAGGGTCTGGGAGGGTTGAAGCATTGCATATGATGTCAATTTTTCTGAAATTTTTCTTCTTTTCTTTCTTTTTTGGAAAATTCTATGTAATGGTTCTCTGGAAAGGGGAAGGAGAAAGATATAGAGGGAAATCTAGGCAATGTAAAAACAAAAGATATCAATAAAAAATCTGTTTCTAAAAGAATAAGATAAGAAATATTCCACAAAACCAATCAACACATAAAAAACTCTGATGTTATATGCAATGTTCCAAACCACAGTCCTCAACTTCCACAAGGGAGTGGGAGAAGGGAGATGTCTTCTCGTATCTCTTCTTTGGGGCCAAGATGATTCTTTATGTAACTCTAGTAATAGACTTTGATGGGATGCATATCCCAACTCTCACTCACACTAGAAAGTTTGTTCCCCAGAAGGCATCTTTATCACCCACCCATATTTCCTTACTCTAGAGAGGCAGTGAGTACCTGTTTGAAACCCCATTTCATTGTGTTCACCCCCAATACCAATTATTCAGGGACTATTAATAGCTCCTTATTGAATGCCATTGATTAGCTTCTTACTCTCAATTAACCATTGATTTCTCCTCAATATTGATTAACCAGTTAACATCAATTAGCTTTTACTTTTTATGAAAGGATATTTATTTACTGCGGTTATAGCAAGAGCAAAGTACAAACATATTTCCCAGAACTGGGGCACATCCTCCCCTCTATTCCTCAGATCCTGAGGAGAACATGTTTGGAATTAAAGCAAGCGCTACAAGCACGTGTCCCACCATGGAGTTCACCTCTGCAGTGTGCCCTAGCCACTGGACAAGCTTGGAGGACATGGCCACCTCAGCTACCAAATCAACCCATTTCTGTCTTGAGTCACAGGTCACTTCTCAGTGATGGGGCAGCTATCGCTGCTGACCTTCTCTGCTGGCTCTTCTGACCTTTCAGAGTACACCAGGTCATTCACTCTATCTTCAACCCTCCTTCATCTAAGAACCACAGAAGCTACGTGATGGTCATGTGGTCATGGGCCCCATAGGGGTTGCCTCAGTGTCCTCATCAAGAGTCCATAGCAGTTCATGCCTCCTTTATCATTAGGAAAGTGAGAAATGAATTTGACTAGTTACTGCCTTTTTCCTACACATTCATTTCTGGCTCAGCAGCCAGTTAAAGGCTTTTCTTCACATTGCAGGAAGTAGGTAGGAAATAGTCCCAGAATACTTGTGTAAGCTCTGAAGTGGAGAGCTGGGACCCTCCATTCTGCATCATTGTGCATTTCCAGAAGAAGGCGGCTCAGAATCTCTGTGGGTCAAGACTAGGTAGAACCTATTGTGCCTGCTTCCATGATGAAGCCCTCATGGAAGAGTCCCCCATTATGCTTATAAAGAGCTCACATTTGAACAGAGGAGACAATATACATAAATCAGTACATACAAGTTAAATAAAGAGTATATGGAAGTAACCTTAGAAGGGATACCATTAGCAGCTGAGGGATCCAGAAGAGGCCTCCTGAAAGAGGTTGTGCTTGAACTGAATCTTAAAGAAAGCCAAGTATCCTTAGAGTTCAAGGTTATAAAGGACAGTCAGTGCAAAGACATGAAGACCAGTATAGCTGGATTGTAGTGTGTGATGGATGAGGAGTCAAGTGGAAGGAAGGATATTGCAATGGTGTTACAGGTGGAGGTCTGTATCTGGAAGAGCTGAGAGGACAATCTTAGCCTCAATCTAAGATGGGAGTCTCCTGGCTCAGTTTCCCCATTGTGTTCCTTTGACAAGGAATGTTTTCCACCTGACTATTCCTGAGTCTGGCT